ATTATTTTATTTTATTTTATTGTTTAATTTTGCTGTAAATGATTTGATTTGTTAAGCCATACGAATAAATAAATAAATAACGGCCAAAACCAATTGCTGCGCTTTTTAAAAAATGTTTTCATATTATTTATAATAATAAAAACCAAAACAACAAAATCGTACTATTAAAGTAAAAAAATTAATTTAAAAGCATCTTATCGTTTTATATGCTTATGTTATATATTTACAAATTATTATTTTTACAAAATACTATAAACAACATTATATAGGTATACAATTTTAATTTACCTAATTAAAGTCAAAATTAGTTACCAAATATGTCTTCATCATTATCTGTGTCTTCATCATCGCTTGAATCACTATCACCTGGTAATATGGTCAATATAATCGGTTCTAATATGATATCCCTGTGAACTTCTTTTTCATAGCATTGCGATTGAATAGTTTCTGCATGTCGTACACATTTCTCCCAGTCTTGCACAGTCACTAAATCTAACGCTTCGCGAGTCAAACGTTCAATGTCTACCATCTTGAACGTATTATTTTTTTTGGCAACTTCATTTTTAATTTGAGCCCAAATCAACTCAATAGGGTTATACTGACAGTGATATGGAGGAAGTCGTATCACCTCATGACCTCTTTCTAGTGCCAACTCATCAAGAAGATACGATTTTCCAGGTGGCATTATATTTTTCACCTTCATTTTGAGTTCGGCCAATGTTTCTAGATTACTGTAGGCCGTAGCGAAAATTTTTATCGTTAAGCCATATTTGTACATCCGATTTTCTAGAATTACTCTTAGGATAATTTTCAGCCAAGGTCGAATGATATGATGCGTTATTCATAACAATAATAGAGGACTCTTCAAGATGATTCAGTAATTCAAGAAACCATTCTTTGTATACCTCAGCATTCATTTGGTTATGGTAGTCTGTAGTATTACCAGTGTTACTACGAAAAATTAATTTTGAATCCTTAATAAAACCGTAGCGGGCGCATCCTGCGTGACATACAATCAGTCGAMCACCCTTGCCAGTTGGAACCTTTAATCCTTCGGTACCTTCATTGTTCTGCCAAATAATGGATCGTGAGTGATTTTGATTTACCCAAGTCTCATCAACATATACAACAGGGCGACTATCATTATTTTTACGCAGTGTGCACATTTTTCTGAGGAATGTGCACCGTAGAGCAACTATGTCTAAACGCTCCATTAAAAATTTGCGTCCGTCATTACACTTCTTAAATGAAAAATTCAAATTTTTAAGAACGCGTCGCATTGACCTAACGCTTCCGGAATAATTATTCTTTTCTCGGTAAGTATTGAGTATGGACAAGGCAGTCGGGTACTCACCTCTATCATAAAAAGTCGTGAATAATTCTTCTGGCTATATCTCCATAAAAATCGTACAACTAGGTTTGAATTTTCACGCGTTTATATGTTTTACGCGGAGATTTAAAAAATGGAACAACACGTTGTTCATCTTGCGTATTTTCTGATTTTTTCGTTTCGGAACAAATGTGGCTTACGGTGCCAAGCGAAATTTCACATGCATGAGATGTAAGGTCTTGAGCACATTTAAAAAATTCGGGCGTTAAATCAGGTTTTTTGGATTGGTTTTTATAAAAATATATACACGCTATGTATAATTTTTTTAGATTGACTATGTATATCTCTATCATTAAAAGACATTTTAAAAAATTACAAAATAACAGCACAGTAAATAAATCACTAAAACAAACAGGCAATACACACTTAACAGTTAACACACGAATGTAATTACTCGTCGACTACTTGCAAGCTACTAAAGGTAGGTACATGCTATGGTATTTCATTATACATTTAGAATAAAAACGGGCGTATATCGATTCCGCCGATTTTATATCGATTCCACCGGCTATTAATTCCGCCGGCTACTGTTTATACCGCCCTTGTAATTTGTAAATGTATTTTTAAAATTACAGTCCTACATAATATTCAAGACTATAGAATTCAGACTTTATAATAATATATTCACATATACGAATTAATTAGAATATACATTTTATTTTTGAATTATACAATTATTATTTTTGTATTTGTATTATGTACTATATAAAATACATATAAAAGGCGGGGAGTAAACAGTGTCCGGCGGAATCAATATGTAAATAATATTAACAGTAACCGGCGGAATTAATAGCCGGCGGAATCGTTWTGTAGATATTTTAAACAGTAGCCGGTGAAATTAATAGCCGGCGGAATCGATATGTAGATATTTTATACAGTAGCCGACGGAATTGATACAAACCTTTTTTCTAAACAGGTAGTTTCGGCGGAATCAATAATTCCCCAATAAAAACAATCCCTCGCTCCCAACACAATGTAAGGGAAAATAACAGCTGCAACAAACCACAAACCTATATAACAGGTCTATACAACAAACAACCTGAAATCCATAGAATAAAAAAGGAACCTTTTTTTTTTTTGAAGATGACGTGTACAATTTACAAAATGTTACGCTACGTGCGCGAAATACACTGCATGCGCAGCCAGCGCCATATGTTGAGAACCACCGGCCGCAGGCCAGGTGTTGGTTGGGGTACAGTCAAGGTCACACGCCACTTTTCGTGTCCTCGACTATAGCATGCGAAACGTGACTGCTAAATCATGAGCCGCAACCTATTTATTAAATAAAGCTTCTGTTTGCTTAAAAATATTAACGAACACATAAGGCATACAAATTATTATACACCACAACTTGAATCATATTTCTAACCCAATTACTTATTAAAATACTTGTAAAGTAATAATTTCATTCCGATTTGATAGTTTTTTTTCAGTAAATATGTCGCGTTTTTTACATATTAATTTATAATTGACAATCACTACGTATCGTAGGATATTTTGATCTGTAATATACATATATACATACATATATACATACATATATACTTAATTGTTTTTATATTATTTAATATAGTAGCAATTCGCAGTAAAAAAACAATTTGCATACAAACATTATTACAAACTTAACACGTTCATGTGATCTATATAAATAAAAATTTAAACAGCAGGTAAGTCGTGGATGTCGCTCTGCTGTACAGTAGGTTACAAGTGGTTTGCTGTAATGAATGGAATTAAATTTGAATCCAATGATATTATATCATTGTATACGAAAAACGATTCTGAGCGGAAACGGTATATATATTTTTACATATGTAGTCAAAATTCAAACTTTGAATTCTTATGAAAAAAAAATTGTGACTATGTATTTCTTTTATTTTTCAACTGCTATTGTAAAAATATGTTAGGAGGAGCCTTTTGTTAAATTTTCAAATCTTAGACATAAAAAGAAAAATTTATTATGAATTTCTAGGATAAAATAATTTACGAATTTTCGTGTTTTTTACATAATAATAAATGTTGTCGAAATTCAAACTTTGAATGTTTATTATTGTAGGTGAAACAACTATATACTTTTGATTTTTGAATGGCAACATACATAGGTATGTAT